AAGTTGGTCGGTAAGAGGTTTCATAAGTAATGCGCATTTCGGTATGTAACGTCTGTAGAAACTTACCAGGCTGTTAAACGTGCGCAATTGTTTGACGGTGGTTGGTTCTGGGTAATCCATAATGGCCGCCACTTTGGTTCTAAGCGGTCGGATATTTTGAACATCGATAGTGTGTCCCAGGAAATCTAACGAGTGGGCCCCGATTCAGCATTTCTGAACGTTTACAGTAATGCCATGTTTTTGTAGTCGTTCGAAAACAAGATCCAGATGCTTGAGATGTGATTCTCTCTCCGGACTTGCGATTAGACAGTCGTCAACATACGCGTGTACGAAGTTGAGACCTCGAAAAACGTCGTCTATGAATCTTTGGAATGTTTGAGCAGCATTTCTTAGACCGAAAGGCATTTGCAAAAGTTCATAGAGTCCGAAGGGAGTTATGATAGCTGTTTTCGGTATGTCGTCAGTAGCCATAGGGATTTGGTTATACGCTTTAACCAAGTCGATTTTCGAAAAGACAGTTGTACCTTTCAAGGTAGCAGTCAAATAGTGAATGTGAGGCAACGGGTAACGATCGTGAATGTTTTTTGCATTCAATCGCCGATAGTCACCAGTTGAACACCAATCGTTGCTGTCATTTTAGAGACCATGTGCAACAGAGATGCCCATGGGCTGTTTGACGGTCTTGTGATACCTAAATCTATAATGTGATCGAATTCGTTTTTCGCCAACGTCAGCTTTTCGGGGGCCAGTCAACGTGCTTTAAAGAATACAGGTGGTCCTGTAGTCGTGGTATGATGTGTAACGTTTCTAGTTACACACGGTAATTTCGGTTACGTCTGGTGCATCCCAGGATACTTATTGAGTAGTGGTTGATAAAGTGGGTCTATCGTATGCATGATTGTGACTGGGGATAATCTGCAACCAGAAAAAGAAGTTACGCAAACAAATAAATTTGTGTTTCCGTCTATTAGCGTTATATTTCTTATTATCTTTTATTGAATGTTGAGAGGCTTTTTTGTCTTATTAAATAACCCCACGCTCCACTGTGACTGAGGAAAGATCGAAATAAAGACCTATTCACTACTTGTCTGGTTTCTTCTATCAATAGCACAAGGGTTACTTTAAGGCACGAAAAACATACCTGTTGAATTCCCGCGGTATTGCCCTAAATACTGCGAGGAATTGCGCACGTGTGTCAATCACGCCATGCTCGTAGAAGTCGGCTTCAATGTTGTCTGGCCAGAAGGGCATTAGTTAGAACTAAGGTGGTGACATAGTCTTTCACTGAAGTACCTTAGGTGTCTCTTTAGTCATGGTGAAATATGAAGTACGAGAATGAACGAGGGAAATATATATACATATATCCAAAAACAGGAAAAAACATCACAATGTATAAAAAATTAAAATAAGTCAATAATATATAGAAACCCAAAAAGGAACAGACTCACAGTTTGCAATTTGGTGTACCAGATCACGTCGGTCTCACCAATGAAGATGCCACGGGTATTCGGAGTCTGACAACGCTTTAAGCAGTAACACCTAATATGAAGCGTACCCACCAAGTGAAATCAAAAGACAGAAGCGAGGAGTTTCGAAGATATATTTGATATGCTATCAATATATCGAGGATCGTCTGATCTAATCTGGCTAGCGATTGCAGGGGTTGTTGAGCACGGCGTTCCCACTCGTGATCTGGTGCGGATGCATGACCGAGCGCCTTCAACTAGGTGAGTCCATTAAAAGTTATGTGGTCAGTATCCAATATCGAAAACGAACAGAGCTATTTATTTTTGGGATTTAATAGCCGCTACAATAAACAACCAATTGAAAAGTCTTTTCACAGGCTAAATCTTGACTTTCCTGCACATTTGAGACTTTCAGATGACATTTGTTTAGCAGACGTCGAGTGGATTTCTTTTAGATATGACCAGTTGGTTGAAAAGTATGGTTATGTGAATGGATTCAATAAGTTCAAAGGCAAACCGAGAGAAATGATTTGCTAAAATTAATGTTTACAATTGCTTTTTATCCACTCCTATTCCATATCATCTCAGGGTATTTTGTAAATGATCAAATTGTTGCGATGTGTATATTCAATTCATTGGCAGTATTAACGAGTAGTTCGAGCAAAACCGTTGCAAAATTCGCTATTGTTTTCGACAAAAGCCTTTCGAGGATTCAGTAGTTACATTTATTGATTGTCACTTCTCAATGTTTCAACAGTCATGGAAACTTTGTCAGCGTCTACCCACCGTAAGGTAGAAATCATTTAAAGAATTATTTGTCGTCCAGTACTTAAGAGGATGTATAATCAGAAGGCATGTTGATCTGAAAGTTTGGGAAAAAAAGAAAAGATTTTCTATAACAAGCATGTATATAAGAATATCTTACATTTATTAACTAAGGAAATGGACGACATTTAGGAATAGAACACGTGCAGAACTAAGACTGCCACATAATTGATCTGCGGGGCCGGCGAAATGTCACAGAGCCACAGCCAAATCATCAGGCAGTCGGGCTGCTGAATATCGAACAGATAATCGATCCTCGTCGAGACCAAGTACAACCAACGTGCATCAGTTAATTGTATGCCATAGACTGGCCAATCCGGTGGTGTTCTCACTATCTTCTCTGTACTTTTGCTACGCATTATATTTCCATACTAACATCCTTTGTGTTATACGGTAGTTAAAACATAGTGTTTTGATACGTCGAAGGGTCAATCCACGTTAGATGCTGACTGCTAGGTGTGAATTCGAAGTGAGCTGGTTCGTCACACCAGTCCTGCCTAACTCGAATAAGCCCTCAGTCATTCGACTAAAATCTACTACGTTGATAATCTATAGACCAAAGTAGATGACAGATGAATGTTTCTGAAAATTTACATGTGTGCATTGGTTTACAAACGAGACCTGTTATTGTAACGCAAAGTGAGACTCTGAATATTTGGAAACACAAAAGTTCACATGTTAGATACTCAATATTAAAACAGCTACAAAATGCACGATATCTGCACAATGAACATTGTTTTCTGAAGCTAGTAGGTAAGAGCCTTTGCATCCACGTTAGTCTTCATGCTCTTGCAACCTTCTTCATAGTGGCAATGTTAAAAAAATTCACCGTGCTTATCTTATTTTTGCTTCTCTTTGTTTTTAGCCTAGTTAAGTGATTTGATCAATACAGACGAGCTGTATGGAGTGTGTTTCGATTCATTTGAAAATGAATAAGCCTTATTTTCTTGTTCCGGAACAAACAGTTTGACGTCTGATGTCTAAATATTTCAAGTCTTTGCAAACAAAGTTGTTGATCGTTACCGTAGATAAGCAGTGTCGAGTGATTTGGGGCCTACTCGAGTAAGACGGACAGGTGCGACGGACAAGCCAAATTCGAAGTCACACGATACGGTGAGCAGCTGACTTGGGTTGCCCTTTCTTCTCATCAAGGTAGCTACTTTGATGACGATATAACACAAAGGACTTTGCTAATGATATAAATAATTAATATTAGGTAAAAGGAAGAGAGTGTGACCACATGGCCCCGTCTATAATGAGCAATTATTTGATGCTCGTTGGCTGTCTTTGAACTTGACGAGGATTGATGACCCAACTGACAGATGGCTTGGTTAGGGCACAGTGATATTTCACTTTCACTATACTGTCAACTGGGCTTTATTTCGCATTTGATGGAGAAAAAAAATTACGTGTTGCATTCATAGATGTACTAATAACGAAATTAGACCTGGATTTGTTGAATCTTTGAGGAACAGATTTGAACTAACAGTGAGATCAAAACATTGATGTTGAAAAAAATTACAGTTACCACACCTGAGTGACAAGGTCATAAAATCCCAATCATTTTTTGCTTCAATACATTGGTTTAAGAATCGCATTAGAGGAGCTTGGACTCACGAAAGCAAGGAAAAGAGATGACTGGCCGATCGCTTCAATGTATGCATTGTTGTACGTTAAAACATTTTGTATGTATTAGTGTCACTATGATTGCCAAAAGTTGAGTGAATTTTAGGCTTCTCTCCTATGCTTATTACTCTTAGTGTCACTTGAATGTTGATTTCACTATCCTATCTAGATTATCTAATATATCCCGATTCAGGCTTCTACACCATGAACAAAGTGTTGGGATTTGACAAACGAAGAATTATAGATAAAATATTATAAGTAATAGGAATGATAAAGTTGGTAACGTTTCTAAACACATCTTGGCCTTTTATAAATATGAATGTGGTTGCACTCCATCTATGTAGATATTATTCTTTTTGATTGGATCACACGGAAAATTTGTCTCGACAGTTTGAGAGATGAGATAAAACCCAGAGATAAGTTACTGATGATAGGAGTTTGATTGAGGTAATCAACTGAGTTCATTGTATTGAAAGTCTCCCAAAACTAAGTTCAACTTACAGCACAATGACAATAAGTGTAGATGTTATGTAAAATATGATACAGTAGCGTTTCGCTCAGTCCCACGTATTAATTTGATCGGTCAAATGCTTGGATATTTGCGTAAGCGTATAGATAATAAAGAGATTTACTGAAATAATGAATAATACATTCATTCACCCTCAAAAAATTTCACGAAAAACTCACTTGCTTTCTTTGGACATACTGAAGAGCATTTACTTTTCTACGATGTGAAAAAGTTAAAAATAATGGTGTACAAATATTGTGTTAAATGCTTCCAGAAGTAAATAATAACAGTTATTAATTTTATCTGAGTTCTATTTATTTTGCTGATTCACCAAGACAGTATTTTTAAAAAAAATATACTACTTTTATTTCACTAGATGTTCGCATACGTTTGTATATGAGAATATTGTATTTTCAAAATTTTCAGACATGTTCATAAATTTGGGTCAGAACAATACACTAACTATTCGAAGCTAATTTTATTGTCACAAAGCTCATATTTTCAAATGGATAGACGTTCTTCATCAATATTCAACTTCTTTTGCAGAGAGGCAAGTTTAATGCACTCTTTGTTATGATGTACTGCATTACTTTGTAGGTCAAAAATAAGACACAGCGCTCAACACAGTTTTTTGTTTGTGTTAGCTGATGTTCGACTTGTGTGCCAGGTAGCGGATCGGTTAGCATCAATTGTCTTAGAATTCATGATGGAACAAGCTCATATTTTTTTATTCTTTTTAGGGATCTGCACCACACTATCGAGTATTACATATTGTATGAACAAGGTGATCACGGTAAGTCACATATTTAATACTGGATAGTGAGTTCATGCTGAACTTTGTCTCTTTGCGCACGAAAATGATTGATTTAAAAAAAGTTTCCGGGTTGTTCACTTATTTACATATTGGATAGTTTCCGCGCCATTGTTTCTTTCCATTCTGAGTACAGCTTTACATGTCCTAGTTTATTTCCTGGTTTTGGTCTTATATAGGTCATGAAAATTAAAAACTTCAGTAAATGTAGAATAACTGCACTATTATGTGATTCTCCATGCCCTCGAAACAGACATATATTTGCCTGGTGCTCACTTAAGTGAGCTGTTTTTTGATGCTTTTGGCGGTGCGTATAGGGTCTTGAAGTTAGTTAAACTATGTGTACTTATTCTTGTACATTTTTGATAGTTCGCGTTTTTACGAACTCCACACAATATTTGGTGGCGGAATCTTCAAATTATAATGATTTATGAGTAGGTACGTAGTAATATCAAATCCTGTACATTCTCTATGTATAATTGTTTTTACTCAACCCACTTCAATTTAATGATTTCATTTGTAAAGATTACTGCCAAACATTTGCAAGTTCTAGGGCAGCTTTTGCATTACTGATCAAAATAACGAAGTGAAGGATTCTACTCAAATACTGCGGAGTTTTACTTTCTAAAATAACGTAAATTTAATCCTTTACTTTTTTTGTAATCGTAGTTTCATATCATTGTAGTTTGCGTCGTTATATTCACGTTTTTAATTCTCTATTATTTGACCTCTATCTACGCTCTCAACGAGGCATTAAAAATCCAAAGTAGTGCTCGACAGTTTGTTTATTATCACTCATATTAAAACGTGTCTGTGCATAATTTATACTTATAGTTGATGCTTGTCTTATCAGGTCTCTTCTAATTCTACGAGATGATCATAGTTCTGCTATTAAACTAAAAAAAACTATCCATTCCGTTCAGTTAAAAAATATAAGGTCTACTTCTCAAATTATCTGCTTTTTACAAAAGCATTTTCAAATTTCAGCAAAATATTGTTATTAATTACAATGTTGAATGTAAAAAACCTACAAATTCGACTGACAGAATCTACGCGAATAGTGTTTATTTTGATGCTTACTTAAAATAGTTGCCAGCCAGTTTGATTTTTAGAATACTTTAATTTATAAGATTTTAAGACGATGGATTTTTCATATCATTGAATTTAAGGATTCATTTTAACGGTTGGTCTGAATAAATTTCATCAGGATATTACAATGTAATTCTGACATTTTTGTTTTCTGGTACTTTATTAGTTTCATTTATTGAACATTTTTTAATACATGTTGTAGGCCCAGCTGTCAAAAGGTGTTATCCCAGTGATCTTTCTGATGTATTCATTGAACGTATCATCGAATTCGCATTTTGTTGTGATGAGTAAGGTTCTCTAAATTTGCTTTATCTCCATAATTTTATCATAAAGTAGACGTTTATCAGTAGAGGAATTTGTGATTGTATTCACAGATGCCAAGGGCATATTGGAATTCGTTTTTTGTTACCAACCAAACGAAAGATTTCTGCTTTGCATTTCAAGGTAAGTGTTTTGACTTTATTTCTTCAACAATGATAGTTCTCATTACCGTTATAACTGAAAATGATATTATGGTTCGAATAACGTATTATTTATGCTAATTACTTCAGTTACATCCTTATCATATTGTACACTAAGCTGCACGAATGTTTGATAAAGGTATTTCAAATTGAAGTGACATGAAATCAAAATTTCTAAAACGAAGTCTCATTATGATTATATGAAGTGTATCTACCTTGGATGGATGCATATTTGCACATATTCCTTGCTTCCTTTCATTAGTATAATTTTAGTCGTCTATCTCAGTAGCTAACGATTAAGTTCAGCAAAAGTGTTTGTCAAACTACTTAGATGAGTTATTCCTTCTAGTAGACACGTAATGGGTATGCTTTAAATTCGAAACAGTATCTTTAGGTAATTTTAGATTTTTATCTTGTTATGATGTTTCAAAATTTGAAGGTTACTCATGAACTACTCACTCACAGAGTTTGTTCTGCTGATTTCGTTATTTATAAATAATCTAAAAATATCTGTCGGTTTTTATTGTTACCATTCATCAGCAAAATTCACTTATAATTTCAGATATACTTACGTTTGTCATACTAGAGTTTTCGTTGTCCACTTTTTGTTTGCATGTATTACTGCTGAGAGACATCAAACATGTTAATGCTACTCAATAATTTGAATGTATTGCACTAACTAATAACAAGTTTAATCACTTTTCTGAAGTACAACTTGATTTGTTTTATAAGCGTAGGTGAATTAGTGCTAAAAATGACAGATTTTGAAAAAATTTAAATTCTTAGTTAATCACTCTACAAGTCGCACTCATCTGTAAGCGAACATCAATTCTATCGTTATTAAGTTGTGGTTTACATTTTGTCTATTATTTCAATGTATATTTAGGTGTAAAAAATATTATTGTTGTTGGTTCAATAATTACTACTTTACTGGCGTAAACAGGATGTTGATTGGTTGTTTTTTAATAAACTACATTTTGTCTGATTTAGCAAATTTCCTTGGTGTGAGTGCTTTCACTCTCTGCTAAGCATTTTATGGCATCATGGTCTTTATCGTGATGTTCACTGGTCCATTATGGAGCCATTCTTCTCTCATCTAAGTTCTACTATTCCACCTCGTTTACCGATCGATCGTATTCAATGTGCGAATCCATTCAACCCGTCTATGGTATGCTTAAATGAATTTGATTTTCAAATTGAACTTGCATTTTTTAACCTTATCTGAAAGGATGGCGTAACTTGCTATAGATACATCCACTCATTCGACAAACAAAAGTACAGCAGAAGTACAACATGTTTTAGTTATGTTTAACTCTTGTTGTGCCGGAAAAAAACCGCTAGTCACTTATACTAGAAACGAGGAACCCCTGCCATTCCCACGATACGAAGTAAGAACACAAAGACTGGTATAAGTGAAGATTTATTGACCCCAAAACACGACGACGACGATTCTAGTAGAAAATACACTCATTTATATATTGATTGTACACCCATTTTTGATTAATAATTAGGATAAAATCACATGAAAAATAGTCAGAGTCATAAAAAATCACATACTGAGCATAGTTCATGTCAATGGAATACAAGAATGTCGTATATTATACAGAATAAAATATCACACGTCAAAAGTAAACAATTACTACAGTGAATGATCATTACATTGAATTAGAATGGATGTAATGTTGAATAAAACTCATAATGAGTAAATCAATCGAAAATTGATTTTTCTTCCCATCATATCAATTCTAAATAAAGTTTTTATTTACCAGAGCACGAGATTATATTATCTACCTAAAGTACTATTTGCCATGTGTATCTCAAGTTGGGATATAAATTAGCGATTGATATTACTTCCATGGGTAAAGAACACTGTTGTTTTGTTTTCGAACAATCTCTTAACTACTAATCAAAAGTCACTATAATCGATTTAAATCGTCTAAATACTATGAATTTGCTATCAGCACCAACCAAGATGTTTATTTACTTCTTGGAATAAAAACTTATTTGAGTTTTTGCTGTTTTAAATTTTTTCCCATCATAGTTACCATTGTCACTAATGTGTAATTGATGTACTCAATGTAAACATTAAAACTGAGAGGTATATCCAGCAGCCGAGCCCCAAATCGACGAAGCGCTTGTCGTCGATTCAATTACCAACCGCTATACAACCTTATTTGGAACTTGTTAGTAATCATTTTGCTTATAACAACATTCAAAAACGTTTTCGGATAGTAGTTCTATTAAAAAGAGCTCTTTTGATCTTATTTTGTGACTGTTTTTACTTTTTTCTAAACTTCTCAACCCTTCCACAGTCAAAATTAAGTTTTAGAAAAGTAGAAACTAAATTAAAATGAAGTGAATACTCAATACAAACGCAACATACTATGTAAACTGTTATATCTAAAGAATTAACAAACTGATAATGAAATTATATTTTAGGGTTTTGTGCTCCGAATTCCAACACCTCAATCCCCACATTATTTGGTAAGTTGTGGTATGTTCACATACATTATAATTTTTAAATAGAACTACGTTATCGAATATTACAATGCATTGGATCTTTCACTATGGATACATATATTTGTAAGGTGAGAATTCATTTTATTATCCCAAATTTCTTTTAAACCTTTGTGAGGATAAATGATGATACAGTAGCAGTCATTTGAGATTACTTCAAATTATTTAATTTCTGTCGTTGTTTATCACATAATAAAAGCGTTAGAAATGTAATTTCATGTTAAATGGAAAGCAATTTTGTAATGTATCAACACTTAGTTTGTAATTTAGTTGTAACTGAGTTGAAATGATATCGTTCAACTGTTATGGATCTGGAAGCTTTAATGAAAAAATGAAAATGATTGGGGTTCTAGCATTGTGTTGATTAAATTTATAATGAAAACATAAAAGCATGATTCACAGATAAAGGATTATGACATTATTTCTTGAGTCTTTTGAAAATGAATTCATTTAAGCTGTAATTGGGATCATTAGACGTTTAAAGCTCCAAGTATCAATGGGATCTTAAATAGACCCTTATTTGCTGGTATTAAGTGTATTCGAAACGGTCTTAATATAATATTCGTAAATTAGCTTCCAGCAATTGTGGGTTTTTGTACTGATATTTTTTAGGACTGATTATGAAAATGTAAACATAAATATGACCCATTGATAGATAGTGAAATACTCTATTGCTCATCCAGTGGTACAATCAGAGATTCTAATGAAGAATTGTCATAAGGCGTTGTCTTAATTATATTTTTACTTGTTCTTTGGAATCTTTTGCTTTTGTCCTTTATAGCTTACTTTTGGAGCGAAGTTTACTATTCTGTTCAAGACGGTTGACAAAGTTGACAGCGTGTGTCTTAACTTCTGTTTCATTGTTGTATCCGATTCAATGGTAAGTCAATATTACTCATCTATTGTTTCTTTATTCTTTCGGTATAAATTTTGACTTGTTTATTTCCACAATGATACGATGTTTTTCATCGCGAAACGTCATTTCACTTTATTTTCAGACTCCTTAGTAGTGCTCACACACGACCTCACATGAGATCAAGTTCAATTAATTTGTGATAGAAATTATAAGCATAGATGATTAAGCTCCTACTCAATGATTTAAAGGTGATGAGCATGCTTCAAAACTTGAATATCCTTCTTCCCATCTCATATATCCATCAAGATTGTGTAACGTTTGAAATTCAGAAACTAGAACAAAACAACTATTGGGTGGTTGACACACACATGTAAGGGAGATTGCAATGCTACTTGACTTCCCAAGCTGAAGTATACGGAGCTGAGTTTGAACCGACAACCTATTGGTTGATAATTGGTTATCATGAAGATTAGGCCACCACCCATTTTTTCTTAAAAGTATTTGATTACTGTTTATCTAGTGCTCTGGTATATGTGATTCTTTTACAAATATTTATCAGCCCTTACAAAGAAAATTATCCCATCTGCCTACATTCACATAGTTTTATTTGATGTAAAGATAGTGTTCATGAAAAGCTCACCATTTCTTCTAGTTATGTTGATCATATAACCACCTCTCAACAATTGAAAATTCACCTCAACTGTTACGTCATATATACTTACATCAACCCAATAAGACTTTATATCTTAGTAAAATGTCTATAACTTATTATTGTATTTTTCGAAACAAATGAAATAATACATAAATATATTCTTCAGAAATTTCACTGATCTATATTAAAAAAATAATCGATTATTGTGTGACGGTTTGTCAAGCTTTCTTTCTCGATTTTTCATCACTTTTGTTTTTCAAACAACTCTATGATTGACAGTAACTTTTTCGTTAGTTGCATTTTTATTCATTAACAAGAATTTCATGTTTGGTCCATAATCAATAAAACATAACTGACTCCCTCTAGTTGGATAAGTTTATTCTGACTAGCTGACATTTACCAGTGTAATATTCGTTTATTTTTGTTGACAATAAATATTAGATTGTTTTAGACATTTTCATCGCGGTATATCATTTGTGAATTGGATTTGTATCACAGAATGATGTTTGATATATAATAATTGAAAACGAGCGAGGAGCATTGAACAGTTGTTTGGTTGTAGTTTATGTATTTTCAATAATTCACACACACTGGCCAACTGGACTATATTCATTTCAGTCGGCATTTTAACGCCCAAATTCCCTGGTATGGTCGAGAGTGGGATGGGCCCGCTCCTCTCTCGAAATGCTCTCACACGGCCACGCATATACAACCTTTGCCAGGGAAGTCCTACTCATTGCTTTCTCGTGGCGGGGGTGTTGTTTACGAAAATAAGAGGACGAAAAGCGAATGTCCGGCGCCTTAACCGGATTCCAAACAAATGGTGCAGATGGGCTCTAGTATCCTGAAGGAACAAATGGCGTATGAACCGATCGTTAGTGACAGGCTACCATGGGACTGCATCTCCTCACGATGCTCCACTGCCTTATGGATTAGACCTTAAGGTCGAGGGCTCGGGGTGTGGTCCCCTAAGAAAACCACCTGCTTCGGTTTGAGCACCCGGGCAGTATCACAGCCCTCATACAAATCGAATGATTTATGTGGCGCATACCTATTTGGTGCCTCCTTGTACCAATATCTATGTGTTAAGATAAATAAAAATAAATAAATAGAAGTTGCTAACTTTATCACCAAATTATAGATTAGTTGTTTAGCTAAATCACAAAGTTCAGAGCTAATTGATAAGCTGATCATATGATTTTCTATTGTACTTTTATTAAAATGTTTACACTATCTGACAGTAATTTTGATGAATAGTTAAGATCAGCCAATATAGCAGCTACTGATTAACGTTAGGCGTCCTAAGTTAGGCTCAACCAGTTCATTTTTTCTTGGTTCCCATTATTTAATCAAATAATTATTATCGGTATTTTCAAATCTTTCAAATTTCAAAAAGTTTCTTCAAATAACAATAACTAAGTAAACCAAATAACCGTCAATTTCACATTTTGATAGAATAATTATCATAGTTAAACTGATCTCTTCTGAGTATCTACTGAGAATATGAAATTTTCAGTTAAAATTATTTTTCACGAATATAAACATTACAGTGTCGAAATCACCCATTCAACAGAATGTTGTCAGTGATTTCACGAATATTCCCAACATAAAATGACTGAAATACATATTTTTCATTCGATGTTGTATCAAAAAATAGGATAATGTTTTAACCGTAGTTATTTACTATCATGGAAACTAGAGTTTTATGTATTGTTTTCTGCAAATGAAGACCAGCACCTATAATTTAGAAATTAATCCAGTCAAATCTGTTCCGATCATGAGTCAATTGAAGCTAGACCGCCATGGAAAACCTGGAAGCACTGAACGGCCGTTTCGTCCTATTGGGGGACTCCTCAACAGTGTGCACCCACGGCTCCGCATCGCGAGATTCGAACCCAGGACCTATCTGCCTCGGGCGCGAGTTCCTAACCTCTAGACCAATGAGCCGGTACTTTGAGGAACCCTTGAACAGACCAGCTTCATTGAATATCCCGTAAGGATCGGTAATGCACAGACCAAATTGTGACACTACGGATCATACTTGAACAATCAAGCGAATGGAACTCGTCACTATACATCAACTTCATTGACTATGAGAAGGCGTTTGACAGTGTGAACAAGAGAACATTATGGAAACTTCTTCCACGGTATGGAGTACCTGAGAAATTCGTCAACATCGTACGGAATTCATGCGACTGACTACACTGCAAAGTAGTGCATGGAGGACAGCTGACTGGTGCATTCGAAGTGAGGACCGGAGTCAGACAAGGCTGTCTACTCTCCCCCTTCTTCTTTCTTCTGGTGGTTGACTGGATTATGAAAACCTCATCTCAGGAGAAGCACGGAATATAATGGACAGTTCAGAACCAATTAGACGATTTGAACTTCGCAGATGACCTAGTCTTCTCATCTCATACACACGAGCGAATGCAGATGAAGACAACTAGTGTTGCAGCAGTCTCTGCATCAGTAGGCCTTAACACACACAAACGAAAAAGCAAGATCCTCGAATACAGCACGGAGAACACCAACCCAATCATACTTGATGGCGAAACTCTGGGAGATGTGGGATGTTTCACGTATATGGGCAGCATCATCGATGAACAAGGAGGACCAGGTACAGACGTAAAAGCGAGGATTGGCAAACCAAAGGCAACATCCCAACAACTGAAGGACATATGGAACTACCAAGTCAGAATCTTCAATACGAACGTCAAGATAGTTCTACCATACGGAGCTGCAACGTGGAGAACTACTTCAACCATCATCAAGAAGGTACAAGTAATTCTAAACAGTTTTCTATGCAAGATACTCAATATCCGTTGTTTGGATACCATCAGTAATAACCTACTGTGGGAGAGAACAAACTAGCTTCTAGCTGAGAAGGAAATTAAGAAAAGACGTTGGAAGTGGATAGAACATACATTGAAGAAGTAACCAAACTGCATCACGAGACAATCCCTAACTTGGAATCTTGAAGGTAAACGGAAAAGAGGAAGGCCAAAGAACACATTACGTCGAGAAATAGAAGCAAGTATGAAAAGGATGAATAGGAACTGGAAGGAGCTGGAAAGGATTACCCAGGACAGGGTTGGATGGCGAGTGCTGGTGGGTGGCCTATGCTCCTCCACGAGGAGTGACAGGCGTTAGTCAATTAGTAAATCGGTTTAGATGTCCATTGTTTGAATCAATATTAACTTCATGCTTTTGCAAGTTCTTTTCATTTCCAGTAATGATTATTAGTAATAATCAGGCGGCCATTTCTTTCTGAATATACCAGCATTGATTTGTTGATTTTCACAGTGGGACTCCAACCTTACCACTGATCACTTCAAACATTAGAGGGTTTTTTTTAAAACTATTTAATCATCATAATCACTAATATGTTAAATTGCTATGAAATTTTTTAAAACATCTTAAATGGTTCACATTTTCATTTTTTTGGTACTCAAATTGAATCGGTCAAAACAGTACACACATTCTCATTTCTACTAGTAGGGTGCTATTCAACATCTAATTAGTTATCTTGGCCAATATCAAATTCAATAATCTATAAGACATATCTAATATTTTGTTATTCTTGTATGTACATCTAACTTATCTATGATTTTAAAATTCTTGTCAGTTTGTAATTATTTTCCAACTAGGATTCATCGTCTTCTTCCTATTAAATTAAACTCTTTCATTCTCTATACTATTTGTGTATGGGACGAATTAGTTCTAGTGAGGAGTCGTGACCAGTGTAGTTTAACCGTGTCTGTTGTGAAGCAATGAATCACTGAAGACAATGGTGGACGGTGGCACAATTTCATGGATTGGTTGAAGCTAGATATTAACACCGTTGGATGCCGGCTCATTGGTCTAGATGTTAAGTGTTTGCATGCGAGACCGAAAGTCCTAGGTTTGAATCCCGCGATCAGGATCGTGAATGCGCACTGCTGAGGAGTCCCATACTAGGATGAAACGGCCGTTCTGTGCTTTCAGGATTTCTATAGTGATTTAGCTCTACTCGACTCAAATTCAACCATTAAATTAGTATTTATTTTTTGGAATAATTAAGAAGCAAAAATCAATAATCACATACATGCTTCACATGTTTCATTGATCCATTCTTTGTTTAAATAAACATAGCTTTCTGGTTAAAGTCTAATTTTTTTTCTTAAATTCGTTCAATAGATATTAAATCTTCAATTAAAAAAAGATAAGCATAGTTAATATATTACTACTTATCAATAATTTTGGGGCAATTATTGCCCCCAAATACCCTGGTATGGCCGAGAGTGGGGTGGGTCAGCCCACCCTCTCGAAATGCTCTCACACGGCCACGCATATACAGCCTCTGCCAGGGAAGTCCTACTCATTGCTTTCTCGT